TAAGAACATTCACCATCAACAATAGGAGCCCAAGGGAGTTCTAGTGGCCTGTGACAAGAAGCTGTGCTGCAATCCCAAAGGTGCACGGTTTGAATCCAACAAATGCTCTACTGGAGAAGGAGGAGCAAATCCCCTCGTGTAGAGTCAGATTGCATTAGACTGTACACAACAAGAAAAGAAAACTACGAAATAATAGTAGCCCTTCTGGTACAGTGGTTTGAACCTACCAGCCACTCCACAGGAGAAAAATGCAACAGTCTCCCTTCCATAGTGATTTACAGCCTTAGAAACCCCACAGGGCAGCTCCATGCTGTCCTAGAGGGTCACTATGAATTGGAGTCAACTCTTGTCAATGGGTTAGGCTTTGGTTTGGGGATAAAGGATACTACTACCTGTTATATGAAAACAACTTCTCTGTAAACGTAAAATTATTCCAAAATAAAGAAATTTTTTTAAAAGTTTAGGAAAAAAACCTCTAACAACAAAAACGTATCATGAAGCCCCCAAACATACTTGTAAAAGTCTTCATAGAATCGTCCCTTGTGATCCTGTCGAATGGAGGCTCGGTTCACTTCAGGGAACTCATCTGAATAAAAGGAAAAGCAGTAAGGAGATATGCTGTGTGCCGTCAAGTGGACTATGGCACTGTGACCCTATGAGCGACAGCTCTGAACCTTGCCCTCTCCTGAGCCGACCTCCCCATCTCTAAGACTTGAGTCCACTGTCATAGTTACCATGCAATCTATCTCACTGAGGGTCTTTCCCCTCCATCTTTCCAAGCATGATGTCCTTCTCTAAGGACTGGCCCCTCCTTCCAACTCCCCAAGTAAGACAGTGTTCCATCATCCTTGCCTCCAAGGAACACCCTGGCCTCACGTTCTCCAGGACAGACTTGTTTGTTCTCTTTGCACTCCATGAGAAAACATAAACTCCTATTTTCTCTGCCCGTCCCAAGTTTGGAGATCTCACAGACAGACACAGAATAAATAAAGATAGTAACTGACTACGAAGTGGGTTGATTTGAAGATGAAACACAACGCACAAACTTCTTGAATCCCCTGAGGGACTATTTTCTACGTCATTGTAATGGTAAAAGCAGGAATGACCGGGCAGCATGAAAGGGCAAAAAAGGAATGGCTGATATAAATAGTGGAATGCAAAAGAATACTTGAAGAGAAAGGGACTCACCAGTAGATTTTGCATCATAGAAAGTTCTAGAAAATAGGACCACTGTCACTTCATGACTACAGTTCTTCTCCTGATTGTGAACAGAAAAAAGGGTAGAGAGAACTCAGGAGCTTTCATTTTCTTTGCTATGAAGTAATCTGCACACACACAGTATTTTCGATTCAAGAGGCTGAGTGTCAGTCTACATTACAGTGTAAGTTCATGCATGAAGAGGCTGAGTAGAGCAAAGGGGAAAAGCACAGGATGGGTAGGAGAAGATGCGGCCTGAGCTCCAGGCTCTGACACTTAACCACAAGAGCTTGTGCAAGTTACTTAAACTCCCAGGGAAGCGGGCTGTCAGTGAGCAACAGCGGAGAGATCTTGTCTTCTGGCCCTTGATTTGGGAGGAAACTGATGAGCCCAGTATGAGAGGCTCAGGATATTTGCACCTGCTCATAGCATTTTTTTTATGATGGCATATTTTTTAATCTCTTCAAAACTGCAGTTCATAGTACAACTACTCTGGAAGGCAGTTTGGCGCTTCAGCAGCAAGTGCTTCAGGTCCTCCTCACTTTCAGTAGCAAGGTTGTTATCATCTGCAGGACTTCAATGTGTATGCTGAGCAAATTACTCAAGAAGCTGGACTTAATGAAGAAGAATGTGTCATCAAGATTGTTAAGTCCAGCAGCTTTTCAAATGATTTGCTAGCATACAAACCAAACAGGTTTGGAGAACGGATACAGCCTTGATGCACACCTTTCTTGATTTTACACCAACTTGTGTTCCCTTGTTTTGTTCAGATAACAGCTTCTTGGTCTAGGAATAGATTTCACATAAGCACAATTAAATGTTCTGAGATTCCCATTCTTCTCAATGTTAGCCATAGAGCTTGTTATGATCCATAGAGTCAAATGCTTTTGCAAAGTCAATAAAGCACAAATAGACATATTTATGGTATACTGGTATACTCGATATGTTCTGCTTTTAGCCAAGATCCATCTGACATCAGCAATGATAGCCCTGGTGTCACGGCCTCTTCTAAACTCTGTCTGAATCTCCAGCAGTTTTCTTTTTTTTATTATTATTTTATTTTATTATTTTTTTATGCATGTACCAGCAAATCAGAACTGACTGATACAGGAGGAGATTGTTCTTCCTTCTCCAGCAGAGCATCTGGTGGGTTCAAACCACACATCTCTGCAGTGCAGCTTCTTGCCACTAGGCCACCAAAGCTCCCTAGCAGTTCTCTTTCAAAGTACTGTTTTAGCAAGTTTAGGATGATCTTCAGCAAAATTTTGTTTACTTGTATAATTAATTATACTGTTAGATAATTTCTACAATCTATTAGATCTCTTTTCTTAGAAATGGGAATAAATACAGATCTCATTCAATCAGGTCTTCTAAATTTCCTGGCACAGACTGGTGAACCTGTCCAGGGTTGTATCTGTTTAGCTGAAATATGTCAGTTGGTATCCCATCAACTCCTGGTGCCTTACAGCTCTGAATAAATAGATGAAACTGAGAACCAACAACAAAAAAGCCCACTGGAGTGAGTTTTTGAGGGAGCTCTGATAGCCTAGTGGTAAGAAGTTGTGCTGCAATTCCAAAGGCACACAGTTCAAATCCACCAGCTGCTCCACAGGAGAAGGCTAAGCAATCTCCTCTTGTGTGATTTACTGCCTCAGAAAGCCCACTGGAGGTCAAGTATGAGTCAATTCGGACTCAAAGACATCTAAAAACAAGTAAGTTTTTCCATAACTCATAATATGCTATTCTTTTTTGAAATTAGTTTGGGGATATTAAACACGGAACCCCTGCAATTCTGTATGAAGGTGAAGATCACCTTTTCCATTTTCACAAACACAGCCTTTGTGTTTTGACAAGACTTGCACAGAATTTGTGGGTTGCTTTGGGCAAATAGTCATGTTCCAATCTATAAACATAAAATATCCTCCCATTATTTAGACATTCCTTAATTTCTTCCAGCAATGTTTTCTAGTTTTAGTTTCCAATCTTGTGTATCCTTGGCTAAATTCATTCCCACATATTTTATCCTTTTTAGTGCTACTGTAAACAAATTTTTTTTTATTTCTTTTTGGATTGTTCATTGTTAATGTATAAAAACACCACCAGATTTGGGCTTTTTTTACTTACCTTACACTCTGCAACTTGGTAAATTTACTTCCCAGTGCTAATAGGTACTTGTTTGTGTAAATCCTGTAGAATTTTCTACAGATAGGAAATTTGCAGAGAGTTTCATTCCATAATTTCCAGTTTGATGCCTCTTCTTGACTAATTGCTCTGGTTAGAACTTCTAGGACAATGTTCAATAGTGTGGCAAGAGTGGGTTCTTTCTCCTATTCTTTTACTTAGGGAGAAAGTTTTCAGTCATTCAATCCTGAATATAATGTTAGCTGTTGTGGTTATTTTTGTGGTTTTTTTTTTCTTTTGGCAACAAGTATTCTTTATCAGCTTGAGGTAAGTTAAAAAAAAACCCCACCAAACCCATAACTCATTGCCAAAGAGTCAGAATGGCCTCATCCACTGGATTTCCCAGGCTGTAAATCACACAGGAGGAAACTGTTCATCCTTCTCCCCACAAGCTGTGTGGAATTTGGTTCAAATTCCAAAGTGGTTTCGCCTTGGGGTTAATAGAGCAACTTCCTTATGAACTACGCCAGGTAATTTAAATCAGTAATCTAGCCACTTCAGATTTTGCTTAAGATGCCTCAAACAAAAGTGCCTTCATAGAAACAATGTATTTTTTAAAATATA